CCATTTAAAATGCCGATTGAGAGCTCTTGATCGAGAGGAAGGAACAACTGTCCGATCCCTGCTCAGGCTGTGAAGTCTAGTTTAAGAAGTGGGATTTATAAGCCACACTGGTTTGTTCTGCTTCCCATTCCAATGACGCCCAAAAGCAAGGACAAAGCCTCGCGCCACAAAAGGTGGCCCTCACACCAGCAGCCTCAGCCTCACAAAGGGCTTCTGAGAAATGCAGGCGCTCAGGCCTGGTCCACACACTGAATCAGCATCTGCACTGAGCACGCACGAGCGCAGGTGATGGTCCGCACGGAGAGGACTTGGAGTGCGCAATGGACAGCTAATCCCTTCCGACGGAGGCTGTTTACGTCTTTGCTGCAAATAAATTCCCCACTGTGTCCAGAAGTCCAACTCCCCTGGCACTTGGAGAAAAAAAATTGGAACTTTACATCCCTGTTCTGTTACTTACTAGCAAGTTACAGAACTTCTCTGAGTAATTTCCCCAGGGGACACACACACACACACACACACACACACACACACACACACACACATCTTCCCTAGCTGTGATGAGAATTAGAGGAGAGAGTGGTGTAAGGATGGCCAGGCATGTGCCCAGCCCAAGGCAGAAAACTGCTTCTGTTTCAGTAGCGAGAGGAAATCAAGGATCAGCAGACTCAGCTTTAACATTGAGAAAATAACGGCAGTTTCCCCAAAGCTGGCACATACATTTCATACAATTCCAGCGAAACTCCCACAGTTATTTCTAATTGTATACAACAATCTTACAATCAGTTTGTAAAAGGAAATCTGTAACCAAGACAAAAAAGGCAAGTGCTTCAAAAAGAACAGAACATGCAAGAATGCATAAAATTCTAGAGAAAAATTCTATTAAAACCACAGAAAATTTTGTTTCTTATGCAGCAACAGATAACATAAATAAACCGAACAACAGCACAAACCGGAATTTAAATATAAAATACTTAATGAATATTAATTATGAAATGAAGTAATATATATAAATATATATGTATATGTAAATTGATGCTGTGCTCACTGATAGTGGAGGAAGTAAAAAGTAAAGTAACAGTGAGATAAAACTTTAAACCAGCGATTTTCAACCCATGTGCTGCAAGAATTTCTAAAACATACAATGCCTTACTAGTTAGCCAAGGACACTGACCTCTTTTCCCTTAGATTGTCAAATTTAAAAATGACAACAGCCAACACAATAGCCATCGGGTGTGAAGGGATCCAAATTATACCTACTTTTTGTCAGATAGGCAAAAAGTATGTCATACTTTTTGGTGAGCTGCTGGATTTTAATAATTAGTGTCTGTGTGCCGGGAGATGAAAAAAGGTTGGTCATCACTGCTTTAAACCGTTCAGGATGGCAAAAATTAAAAGTACCATCACCAAGATGGCAACAAATATCCGCATCCTTATAATGGGGTGTAGTGGTGCTCTGATTTCTAGGAGCTGGGTTCCCAGCACAGGACTGCGGCAGCTAAGGAGTGTCCCAGTGGTAACGCTGGCAGCAGTGGTAACCACAACCATTCCAATTGCTGCCATTACCACTGCCAGGAGTCCTTTGACTCAGCAACCCACCTCCTGGTGATGTACGTACAGGAGATCTTTACTGTAGTCGTACCAGTAGTAACAACTGCAAGTGCTACTGCTACTGCTACAGAGACAGTGCTTAAGGGCCACTGTTCAAACACGTTACATACAGTAACTCGAATCCTCACCACAACTCTGAAAAACAAAAACTCTCATTCCTATTTCACAGACTAGGAAATTGAGGCATAAACGTGCCTAGCAAACATAAGAACTTAGACTGATACTGGCTCTTTTGCTGGTATTGTTACATACCCTCAGACAGCAATTCTAACCCAAAAGAAAAAAAAAATTTAATAAAAATATGGTGAATGTACATCTGAATGTTCATGAGTGGGAATATGTGGACAGGTATGAAGAAAGATACCTTTATATGGAAAAAAAAACCAGGAGGAGCCACACTAGGCAGTTCCCAGGGATCATTTTGGCGGAGGAAGGTGATTTCTGAGAGATGAGGAAGGCTGGAGAGAAAAGGAAACAACTCACTCGTTTATGGATAATAAAGAAAATTATAAATTTTTTAACAAAAAGATAGATACAGAGACAGTAAAACATCAAACAGAATGTCAAACTACAGCAGGAAGGTTAGAGAGAGGTGAGGGAGATAAGAGATCAACCGAAAGACTTGTGTGCATGCATATCAGCATAACCAATGGACGCAAAAAGTCTGGGGGGGTGAGGGCATGTATGGGGGTGGCAGGGGGGGAGGAAGCAATGATAAGATATAATACCTTAATTAAAAAATGGGAAAAACAACAACAACAACAACACACACACACACACACACACACACACACACACACCAAGTGAGAAAGCTGAGGTATAAATAGAATAAAAACAAAGACATAACATTCCACAGTCTTTGGGGACACAAGGAGCTTTGCAGAAGTTTGAGGAACAGGTATTTTCAAGCAAACTTCATTACTCAAAAGAGCCATATTTTTGTTAAATGATTTGGGTTTTCCCCCAGGTAATACAAATTATGGAGAAAATTTCCAAATCATTTATTCTTTGTTCAACAACAACAACAACAACAACAACAACAAAAACCCTACTAATTCCAAGGTTCAGAACCCATCCTCATCCATGGAAAGGCACTGTGTAGAGCAAGCATGTCAAACTCAGAGGCTTACACATGCCAGATAAACAAGGTGTAAGTTTATGTGGGCCAGGCCGCAAAAAACCTTGTTTTCCAAAATCGAAATATTTCCTGTTGTGCACAACAAACAAGTCAGTACAAGACTAATGACATGGCAATCAGCTGCTAAAATATTCGCTGCTAGTATTAGTGGAGAGAAATGGTGTGCTGGCACATAGGAGCATAAGAAAATGAGTGCAACATCATTACAGTCATTAGCGAATGTTGTAGTTCCTTATTAACAACTAGAGGCCCGGTGCACGAAATTCATGCATGAGGGGAAGGGTATCCCTTAGCCCAGCCTGCACCCTCTCCAATCTGGGACCCATTGAGGGATGTCCAACTGTCAATTTAGGCCCGATCCTGCAGGGGACAATCTGGGACCACTGGCTCTTAACCGCTTGCCTGCCTGATAGCCTGATCACCCCCAACCTCTCCCCTGCCAGCCTGATTGACACTAACTGCTCCTCTACCAAACTGATTGCCCCCAACTGCCCTCCTCTGCAGGCCTGGTTGCCCCCAGCTGCCTTCCCCTGAAGGCCCAGTTGTCCCCAATTGCCCTTCCCTGCCAACCCAGTCGCCCCTAACTGCCCTCCCCTGCTGGCTTGGTTGCCCCTAACTGCCCTCCCCTGCAGGCTTGGTCGCCCCTAACTGCCTTCTCCTACAGCCTGGTCCCCCACCACCACCACCCAACTGCCCTTCCCTGCCAGTCTGGTTGCCCCCAGCTGCCCTCCTGGCAGACCCAATCACCCCCAACTGCCCTCCTGCAGCCTGATTGCCCACAACTGCCCTCCCCTGTCAACCATCTTGTGGTGGCCATCTTGTGACAATAAGAGGGCACAAGGGCCACCTAGGCTTTTATTAACATAGATTATGTTTGACATGCTTGGTGTAGAGAAAAGAAAGCTGAGTTTTGCGCCTGGCACTGTCATCTTTGGGTTATTTGGCCTTTGGATAGTTAATAACCTACACTTAAGTTTTCTCATCCACAAAGTAAGGAAGTTCAACCTGATCACCCTTAAATACCTTTTTAGATATAAAAGTGTGATGATTCCATTATTAACAAGTACAAAGGAGAAAAGTGAAAAGTTAGGAATGATAGTTATTACCATTTTAAAGAAAATGATAATTTAATGAGCCACTTAAAATTATACATTTTTAGAATGAAAAACTGTAACAAGATTAATTAGGAATTGTACAGTTTCAAGTGGTGAGTTGAACTACTCAATGCTTTAATTTTCATGTTGAGGGGGAAAAGTTACCAGTTTCGGTATCATTCAGATTACTTCATTTGTCACCTTAAAATGGAGCCATCCATAAGGAAAAGTTCAACAAAATGTCCTCCTCTCGAGACCACATGTAATGGCTCTCCGAAAAAAGGCTGGTCGGTGACAGCCAGACAGCCAAATTAAGTAAGTTACACATTACAATTTCGAATGGAACATTCTTGAATATGTTATTCATAGAACACAAAATTGTCCAAAAACGTACCTGCTTAAGCATGACCGTTTCCTAAAGCAACAAAGTTTTAATTTTTATATTCTCCTCACAAGCTTTATAAATAAGAATGTGAATATGAGTGACACTAAATGAACATTTGTGTCTGAGTGCAAAGCATAAAAAGTCACTACGAGCTCATAGGGCATAAAGATTTCCATGCGCTTGTGACACTGAGCGTATTTTATTTTATTAAACGGTTGTGGGATTTTTCCAAAAGGACACACAAAATTCCTGAAAACTTCCCCAGTTTAGGAACCCTTACACGAAAACCACCTTTTCAGACTGATTGGAATCTTCTGGGGGAAAAAATCCACCAACTCTTTAGAACCTAAGTGAGCCTGGTTCCTAAGTAAGCCTGGCTAGCTGCAAGCAGCCAGGTTTCGGGCTAGGATGACACAGGGAAACAGTTCCCGGCTGGCACAGTATCTGAAATTCCTGAAAACAAGCAGCTCCCCAAGGAGCAGGTCAGAATTCCCTTATCTACAAGCGCGGGCACGTGCATTTATTTATATCCCCAGATTAACTTCGAGTCTAATTTTACTGCCACTGCGTATCCAGGGGTGGATTTCTTTTTTTGAAATGGAACTTGAGCTGAATCAAAGACATTTTAAGGTCAAAATCGACTTCTCTGAAAAACAGAGGGTGTGCGCCCACGTTATTCATGAAGGCTCAGCCATGCACATTCCGGGGTGGCTGCGGGCAGGAACCCCCGTCCAGCCAGCCGTGCCCACCTGTCGGCGCGGTGGCACAGACTCACCCAAAAGAGCAGGTTGAGGGCGTAGAGCAGGCAGCGCAGGCACCGGACGGAGTCTTCTCTGGCCATGGTGACCCCCGGGAGGGAGAAGCCCCATTCTCTCACCACATCCTATCCCCGAGGGCAAGGCGGCAGCAGCAGCAGCGATCTGCAGCGGCGGGCAGGGGAGGACAGGGGACTCAGCACCGCGCTCCGCACCCCCAGTCCATCCCCTCTCTGCCAGCCCGCGGCTGCGTCCGGAGTCTGGTTCCTGCCAGACACCGATCCCCCCAACATCACTTTCTTGAAGTTCTTAAAGTGATCTCCCCACCTCCCTCCGCCAAGTCCCAAACCGCCCGCAGAGAGCACCTGCTGAGCAGAGAAGAGAGAGGGGCTCCCCGGACGAATGGAGGCGCGGAGCCCACTCCGGGTCTGTCTTTCTGAATTCCGATGAGACACCCCAAAAAGCCCCCCTCCATCCACGCCCCTCCTGGGGGACAGCTCCGCTCAAACTGCCCGCGGGAGGCCCCCCAGACGGAGGGTCCCCCTCCTTAGGACAAGTCCTGGGGCCCCGCGCCTCCGCCCCGTCCCGCAGCCCCAGGGGAACGCGCGGCTCCGCGGGGGGCGCAGCGCTGGGCCGGGGCTCCGCCCGGCGACCCGAGAGCGTCTCGGGGGGAGAACGTGAGAAGCGAAGTCTCGGCCCGGAGGGAGGGATGATCTGCCCGGGGCGGGGACGGGGCTGGGGATCGGGGATCGCGTCCCCTCCCCCGGCCCCGGCCGCGGCCGCGACCCCGCGCTCCCTCCCGGCCGCCCGGGAGCACAAAGCCCGGCGCGGTCCCCGCCCGCCACCGCGTGCGCGCCCCCGGCGGGGATCGGGGCGGCGGGGGGCGCGGGGCGCGGGGATCGGGGCGCGGCCGGGGCGCCCCTAAAGGGCTCAGCACCGGCGCCCGGGCAGCCGCCGGCGGGACCCGGGCAGGAAGGACGGCAGACCCGCGGCCACTCACCGTCCGCGGCCGCCCCGCGCCGCGCGCTCTCCCGCCGCTCAGCTGTCCGGGGCGCACGGAGGGGGCTCATCGGGGCCGGGACGCCCCCCGCGCGGGGCCGGAGGGCTGCATGGGCTCCGGCTGGAGACGCTTCCCCGGCTTCCTCTCCGCCCGCCGCCGCCGCCGCCGCCTCCTGGGAAAAAGGAAAAAAAAAAAAAAAAAAAGAGCCCCGGGCAGCAGTTGCTGGAAAGTCTCTGCTAAGCCACCTCCCCGCGCCGCTGTCCCTCCCAAGTTCTCGCCAAGTCCGGACAGGCTGCGGCGGCGGCCAGGGCTGCTGCACGCCCTCTCGGCGCATGCTCCGGCCGCCCGCCCGGGTCCGCTCCGAGCGGGGGTTTCTGGCCCCGTCCCCCCCGGTGAGCCCCCCGAAGGGACGCCTCACCTCTGCAAGACACGGTCCCGGAGCCGGAGCCGGGGACTTCGGGGAAGTCCGCCCAGTGAACCCCTTTAAAATGGTGCAGCCGGAGGACGGGAGGGGAGGCTAGAACCATAGGGAAGCAGGCTCTTATTATATGAAAATATTTGTGTTTGGGAAGGGGGGCGAAAGAGCGGACCAACCCAATTCCTGCAAGGAGAAACCAGTTTGCACAACCTTTTGGGAACCACCTCCTGTGATTTGTCACCAGAGTGGTGCCCTGTGATCCTTTGAATTGCTTTGTTGCCTCCCAGACTAAAATACACACACACACACACACACACACACACACACACACACGCACAGTTCTCTCCAACTTCCATAATGCACTAGGAAACACCAGGGTAAAGGTGTCCAGGTCTGACATCCAGCAGAGGAAGAAGACAGTTTTAACTCTTTCACAGGTTATGCAAAGACTTCAAATGTTCTCCCAATAAGATGGCGTTTTAAGGGGCTGATTTACCTTAAATTGTGTATATTTTTAAAGCTAGAGATTCAGGAAGTATTAAAATGATAATGGGAAACTACCCTTCTTTTTAGAAGTTTCTTTGGGGAGTAAGAAGTTTCACACATAAAAATCACTCCATCATATCCCCATATAAAAATGTGATGTTTTATGCCTCGTGATAGCCCACATTTCTATAATTACTTTTATGCACATTGTGTGGCAAATAAATCTACACTAACAAATCTGAGTCCCCAGAAATAAATAAATAAAAACATTTTAAAGAGGATTATTAAGAATTATTTGAGCTGAATTGACAGCAGTTATCAGGAAGCAAAATCTCAACGAATTGAGGAAATGTGCCAGAGAATGGCAGTTATACATCTTTTTATTTTATTTTATTATAGTTTATATGCAATGTTATTTTGTATTCGTTTCAGGGGCACAGCACAGGGATCAGACAGGCACACTTCGCAAAGTGCTCCCCCTTTCATATTGCCAGGACCGGCCTGGCACCTTCCATAGTTGTTACAATGTGATAGGTATTTGTCTTCCTCTGACTGACTTATTTCACTTAGCACAATACTCTCTAGGGCCATCCATGCTATCACAAATGGAAAGATTTTCTTCTTTTTATGGCTGAGTAATATTCCATTGTACAGATACACCACCACTTTATATCTCTTTGCACTTGAGTTGGTTCCATATCTTGGCTATTGTAAATAACACTGCAATGAACATTGGGGCACACATATTCTTTTGAATTAGTGTTTCGGTTTTCTTCAGATATATACCCAGAAGTACAATTGTTGGGTCATAAGGCAGTTCCATTTTTAATGTTTTGAATGACTGCACCAATTTGCATTCCCACCAACAAGGGTTCTCTTCACATCCTCACCAACACTTACTGTTATTGATTTATTGACAGTAGCCATTATGACAGGTGTGAGCTGATATATCTTTGACGTTTTAATTTGCATTTCTCTGATGATTAGTGATGTTGAGCATTTTTTTGTATGTCTATTGGCCATCTGTATGTCTTCTTTGGAGAAGTGTCTGTTCAAGTCCTTTGGCCATTTTTGAGTTGGATTGTTGGCTTTTTGGTATTGAGTTGAATGACTTCCTTATAAATTTTGGAAATTAATCCCTTACCAGATATATCATTGGTGAAAATATTCTCCTATTCCGTAGGTTGTCTTTTCGTTTAGCAAGCAACATCTTTGAGAAAACCTAATAATGGGAATCCTGCTTACATTGCTCTAAGGGGGGGGTGCGGGGGGGGTGTGGGAAGGAGATAGAATACTGTGTTTGTCATTGCTGCACAACCAAAATGGCAATAAGACAGACACTCATTTGGGTAGAAATAAAATCACCACTGGAAGAGAACCAGTGTTCTGGGTTAGAGGTAGCACAATCTGGGGAAACAAGTCACTAAGCTGAAGATAAAGCAGCAAGAAAGAGCTCAAGAAAAGTGGCCAGGCATCCATTAGGCGACTTTAATTCTGGCAGCAAAGTATCGTCTAGAAACACGGAGAAGAGTGAAGAAACCCCCTTTTATCCACCATCAGTTTCCGCTCAAATGAGAGTGCTGTGGATACAGCCCGTCATCTGAATGCTGCTGGAACACACGTCCCTCTGAGAGATAGAAACACCCCCACACTGGCAATCTATGACTAGCGTCAAAACTGACAAAAACAGCACGAAAAACTTCCATGGCACTGAACAGAGATCCTCTTCTAATTCTGGGACACAGTCAGTGCCTTTCCATAATTCATAAACTTTTTGATGTATTCTTTATTAACTTCAGAGAGGAAGGGAGAGGGAGAGAGATAAAAACATCAGTGATGAGAGAGTCATTGATTGGCTGGCTTCTGTACATTCCCCACTGGGGATCAAGTCAGCTACCTGGGCATGTGCCCTGGCAGGGAAGGCAACGGTGACCTCCTGGTTCATAGGTCAACACTCAGTCACTGAGCCAAGCTGGCGGGGCATAATTGTTAAACTCTTAAGGCCCCTAGAATAATACAATTTTAGAGGAAGTTGCTTTAGAAGTATGTATGCCCCCCCCCACTATATTTTAGTACTAAATAAGTAATATGGAACCATAGAAGTTAAAGGAGTTGCTCAACATTACATTAATACCTATAGCTAAATCAGATTCCAAACTAAAATTCAGAATCATACTCTCGAACTGTATGTGGGTTAGTGATTCTAAAAATTGCTGTCTGCCGGGACTGGTTTGGCTCAGTGGATAGAGCGTTGGCCTGCAGACTGAAAGGTCCCGGGTTTGATTCCAGGCAAGGGCATGTACCTTGGTTGCGGGCACATCCCCAGTAGGGGGTGTGCAAGAGGCAGCTGATCAATGATTCTCTCTCATCGATGTTTCTAACTCTCTATCCCGCTCTCTTCCTCTCTGTGAAAAATCAATAATATATATATATATATATATATATATATATATATATATATTTTTTTTTTTTTTTTAAAGTAAAAATTGCTGTCTATTAGAGTCACTTGGGAAGTTCTGAAAAAAGTCTGACACTTGGGCTGTACCCCACACCCGTCAAGCCAGAGTCTCTGCAGATGTGGTCTAGACATCCAGGTTTTTCAAAGTTCCCAAGTTAATTCTAATGTGCAACGAAGGCTGAAAATCACTACAACTGACGCCTTACAGATGCCAGAAAACTAGCAAAGGGGTCTCTTCAGGTTTAGCTGGATCCAATCCTTCTCTTGTGAGTTGATAAATTAAAATGAATATCCTCATTTTACAAGTTAAGAAGAAAACAGAGCCCTGGTTTCTGCTGTAATATGCCTGATAAACCGTTATCAGAGTATATGAATCAACATTTCAGTAGAGGAGATGACACCACATTGGGGACACTGTGGGACCAGGCAGTCGTGACTGTTTCAACCTGACCATGCCTCCCTTCAACGCCTGCCCCTCAACTCTAGTTCTGCCTTCTGCAGTCCACAGCTTGAGCCATCCTTCTCCCATCTGCAGCCCTTCAACTCCCTGAGGGCAGCTGCTACCCCCTCCCTCTCCGATTCCTATCTTCTCCAGAATTACAGAAGCACAGTAAGACTTGACATCACAGCTGTCATTTGACGGGCTCATATTTTATTCTGTGAGAATAACATCTTTTTCTGTACACACACACACACAAAAAAGGAGGGTAGAAAAATTCCAAAA